TTCCTTGTGTCTATAAAGGAGCTGCTATTCAGTGGAGAGACAATCTGCTGTAATGTGTTTTGATCTGCATGAAAATCAAAGATGTATCCGAGTCCCACATATCCTCATATAATCTGTGACTTTTTAATCTGTAGCTGAAGTCTGAAATGGCTTCCTTCTGAAGCTATAGACATAAGATGGTTTAGTAAAATATGATAGACGTGAATGTCAGCCAGGTTTCCCTCAGGTCTTTATTTTGGTGGACCTGCGTTTGCGCACCAAATTAGTTCACACAGAAATTGCCCTTGTAATTGATTGCATCCAGAGTGGCTCATTGCAGGTACAATTAACTGACATGAGCCCTTAGAATAAGGTGCAAATGTCTTTTGTGCTTCTGCGACTAATTGCAGTCCTGGAAACCCTCAAAATTTGGCAAACAAGGACTTGACCTGGCATCATGGAGGAGATTTTTTGTTATTGTTGTCTTCATTTTATTCAAAGCTAGAAACAGAAAGGACCTCTCTTCCCACTTTTTAAGAGTTCAAAAGCAGAGAAAATAAAATGGGAACAGGCCAATATAACAACATACTTCAGAATTTGATGTTACCCACCTTTAGTTGCATATACCTGGTTGACTCCGCAGTGAATCATGGCAGAAAAGAAATGAGCTCTTGGTAGTGCCTCTCTCCTACTCTGACCTCCCCCTAAGTCAGCTAGAAAGCCAAAACTTGGTGGACAATAGTTAGTGAGTTAATTTGTCTTCTCCTGGAATTTTAAAAGGGAAAATATCTTGAAATTTGAAATATGTTCACTTAATACTTTAGATTTGGTTTTAAAACCAATTTTCTCCTAGATAACACATTTCCCATTTAAATAAATGCATAATAATTTTGAAGGTCTACTCTATTACAGTCATTTTGGTCTATGGAAAGCATACAATTCATTTTAAAGGAAAAGCTGCTAATTACATATTTATCTAAGAGATCAAAACAAGCTCTGTTTTTTTCTTAATTGCGCATTTTTAAAAGCCTAATTACATATTTTCACTCAGCCTAAACAGGCCTTTGATCAAATAATCCTCATTCAATAACCTTTGATTTAGATTTTATAAAATAATTTGAGCACACTAAATTATATTAAATAACATGGCAGCCATGATCCTACACTTTTACTATTATTCAATGCTTTTTTTTTTTAAACCTTGAGCATAATTTCCCTCTAGGAGCAGCTTGAATGGATTTCAGCCATGCACAATAGAACTTCTTTTGTCCAAGGGACTTACCTGTTCAATTCAAGAGAATGGAAGTGGGAGTCAAGTGGCCAAGCACCGCCCCCCCCCAAACATATTGCTACACTGCAAAAAAAATCGACTCAATACAACGTTTCTGTTCCCAAAATTGAGACAATTAAGATTGGATTCTGCTCTTTGCTCACAGCCCCACTCCCCCCAAAAAAGGGGAAGTTCAAGAAGGCATTTACTACGTCTCATCCTTCTCTATCCCTTCTTTTTGGCCTGTGAAAAATTTGACAGTTAATCATCTTTTAGAGTTATGTTCACCAATAATTTCCTCTGCAGTCAGCTAATTGCTACTGCAATGGTTTGTTTGTGAACCCTCAAAATGAAAGGCAAGTAACTGGTCACTGCAGATTCTGTTGCAGTTGCGGGCCGTTGGCTATTTGATCATGCATTTTTGCACACACAGAGATAATTGCATGCACAAAAATGGTGCCAGATCTTGGAAAGGATGGTCACCCTTTCATGACATCCCTACAGTTTATTTTATTTACTTTTAATAAATTGTATTGATTTTTGGGGGGTTTTATATCATTAGAGTTTTCCCCAGGATCCTTTTCCTTCCTTCCAAGAGCCATTCTGTATAACAAATAAAACTTTTTAAAGACCAAAAAAGAAAAAAAGAGAAAAAAACCAGCACAACTGATTAATACATTGAAAAGTCTGAAAATATGTGAACTCTATAACACCTGTGGACTCCCCACCTCAACAAAGGGATGGGTTAGGAGTGTCCTTTCATATCTCTTCGTTTGAATTATGCATGATCTTTATAATTTTACAAACATCCACTTCTGATTTTTTTTTTGTATGTGGTTATCCTTTCCATTTCCACTGATATGGTTGTTGTGTGTCGTGTTTTCTTAGCTCTGCTGACTTCACTTCGCATCAGTTCATGTAGTTATTTCCATACTTCTCTGTAGTCATACCATACATTGTGTCCTTTAGTGCAGGCATATTCTATTATATTCATATGCCACAGTTTGTTTAGTCATTTCCCAGTCGATGGTTGTTTCCAGTTCTTTGCTATCACAAAAAGTGCTGCTATAAATACTTTGGCATATAATAGGGACTTTTCTTATTCATGATTCCTGCAGTTTATTTTAAACTAAGGAATTTCTTTGGTTTGTTAGTGCATTTATGATCATTAATAATCTCATGAAATGAACAGTGACATCTCTAGAAAGGAGAATCGATTTGCCTGTTAAAGTATTCAAGCAGTGTCTTTTTTTTTCAGTCTTATTGAATTAGGAGGTGGGTGGGGAGGTGATGCTTATTAGGTTAAATAAACTGGCCTTGAAATCATCTGAAAAGATGAGAGAATGACTCTTTTCAAGGAAGATCTCCTAATTTAACATTATAGTCTTTTATAATTTTTTCCATAATAATGATATTCTAGGTATCTTATAATTTTTCCCATAATGATCAGTATAAAGTAACCTGCTATGGTTCACAGATTATACTGTATTCTATTTTAAGTAGTCAAATAAGCAAGACTGCCACAGGGGATTGAGCATTTTAGTTGGAGAACAAGAGGTCTTTAGAGTAAACAGTCATGGTGTCATCACCTTAACTAACTCTTTCCATTTCTGGTATGGTTGGCCTGGTTCCTCCCACATCTCCCTTTAACCTCTGTGTTCCTTTCTTTGGATTCAGCCTTCTTGCTGCATTTAAACTCTGTGGCATCCTTTAATGTATCAGCATTAAAAGAGATGTGCCAATTATATGGCTCTAATGTTGTTACTAGGTACGTTAGGCAGCTATCAGCCAATTAAACCTCCAATTATTTGTCTCCCCTCTCAGTTCGCCTCACCCTTTAACATCTGATTTGGTTTGGGGTAGTAGAAATTGGGGGAAGGAAATTTTATTCTGCTCTCTCTCAGTACGGTTACAATTTTAGTACCAATTGAAAAAAAATGGTTAAAAGGGATATAAGGACAGCTACTACATTGAAGAACCGTAGGTCTTGGAATATTATATTCCATAGAGCAAAAGAGCTGAGTTTACTACCAAGGGTAACTCACCCAGCAAAGTTAAGTATAATCCTGAATGAAAAAAAATGGACATTTAATGAACTGAAAGACGTTCACATTTTTGTGACAAAAACCCCAGAACTTAAGGGAAATTTTGACATATAACATCTTGGAGAAATATAAGGTAAATATTAAAGACCAATTATAAGGGACTCAATAAGGTCAAATTGTTTACTTTGTATGTGTGAAAATATTAGCAGTAAGTACTCTTATGATTGTCATCATTTTTGGGGTAGTTTGAAAGAAAGACTTGGACTGAGCTGGGTATCATGGGGTGATTTTAAAAAAATAAAACTGTAGGGAGTGATAAAAAGGAGTAATTGTCTCATACAAATGAGGCATAAAAGGAAAACTCGATACAGAAGAAGCTAGTGGGGAAAGGGCTGGTAGTGCTGGAACCTTACTTTCATCGGGAATGGGTTAAAAAGGGAAATATATATATGTGTGTGTGTATATATATGTATATATATAGTAT